ACAGCAGGTGCAAAGGCCCTGGGGCAAGGCCAGGCCTCGGATGAGGGATGACTGCTTCAATCAGATAGGCTCTCTGAAGGCAGGGAAAGGAATTACACACAGCAGGAGCTCAGTAAAAGTTGATGGGAGAGAGGAAGCAAGAAAGAGACTACCATGTTGGATTCAAAGATTTTGAGGCTGAATTTTGGGATTGGAGGAAAAGAAGCATCAGTTTGATAAAGCTGGGGAAGAATAGGAGATGAACTGACTTTATGTCCTGTCTTTCTAGCCTTCTCTTAAAAATACTTCTCAGATGGCGATGACTCAAGGAATTTGAAGATTTCATTTTGGTTTTTGCTTTATGGCTTTGCTTTGAGTTGAAAATAGGATTTTTTTTTTAAGTTTGCCTTTTTTACTATATGTTTAAGATATTTTTCAGATAAATAGAACTCTTAAAGATTAGGGCCTGGCATTCAAATTATTAATACTCTCAAAACAATTTATTATTTGGAAGAAATCAGATACTATTTCTAACAAGAATAACAAGTTCATAGGGGAACTATTAGTAATTTATGAGTAGAAAACCTTTTTTCCCCCAAATGGTCAAGAGAATTGGGTTTGAGATTTAGATGTTCTTTTGCTATGGTTTATACAGTCTGTGTTTGCCTCTTCAAATAACTTTGGATGACTTTTACATGACCACGTTATTGTTTTCATAAATGGTATTTTTAGGAATTGGAAATAACAAAAAGTTCTGGTTAGACTTACTACTTGTCCTGAATAACTTGTGTAGCTAAATGTCTCTTTCCTAAAAAGTGACTGAGAAGCAACACCAGCCCAGGACGGTAAGTGTCAGACAGATGGTTTTATGTAAGACAGCAGCAAGAACAGAAGATTGACAGTGGTTGGTTTGGTGGCAGGGCTTTTTTTTTTTTTAACTTGGTGTTTAAATTACAGAGGGAAAATTCTTATTTTTTTGATGTGTGTGTGAAAATTTTTCAAGACAAGGTTCTGGTCTTAAGATACAATCAGTGCCCATTTTGTTTTCAGTGTCATTAAATTATGATTAATTTTAGAATGACTCCACTTTTGGTCTTTTCCCTCCTGCTAAAGATTTTGAGGAATATTTCCCCCCTATTTTTAGCCTCTCTTACACCTGGCTTTATTTTTTTGTTTGGAGGGAAGGAGGTAATTAGGTTTGTTGGTTTGTTTATTTAGCGGAGGTACTGGGGATTGAACCCAGGACCTCGCGCATACTAAGCATGCACTCCACCACTGACTATACCCTCCCCTACCCATACCCGCCTTCAAAAGAAGAAGAAGAAATTTGCATTCTCTACATTTTGGTTGAAAGGCAACAAACTTCAAAATGTACCAAAACAATATAGCTGAAATTTTAACTTTATTATTTTCCTATTATAACTAACAGATAATCATTTTATAATAAAAGAAGGGAGCACAAAATGTATAAAGAAGTTAATTTTTAAATTGCCTCTAATCCCATCCCAGAGAAAACTATTAATATTTGGGCATCTTTCCTTGCATCAGTCTTTTCCTATGTATTTTTGAATACGGCTCTCAAATATTACTATATATAAAGTCTTATATGCAGCTTTTTCAACATAACATTATATTATTTTTCTCATATCTATAAAAACTCTCTTTGTAAACATAATTTTAGTGGCAGAGTAATACTCTATCATATGGATAGATCATCATTCATTTAAACATTATCCTAACATCAAATATTTAAAGGAGTGGGTTGAAGCACATAACTAAGATATTTTTGTTTTCTAGAAAGGCTGTTCTTGAGAACACAGGGAGGGGAATACACGGAGATGGTGAGGGTAGGGGGTGTCCAGGCCAGCATGGATAAGGAGAGGCTCAGAGGTCCTGGCCCAGCCGTTCCAGCTCGTTCAGCAGGAAGTCCATATCAGCCCGCGTCAGCGCAGGGTTGGCCACGACCATGCGAAAGAAGTTGCCGCAGGAGCCGTGGGGCTGGTAGCCAATCATCATGGAGCCCTTCCTCACCATGCGCTCCTTGAGAACTGGGGCCACCTGTGGGAGGTGAGCTTCCCGCTGCAGCTGGGGGCCGGGTGAGGGGGCAGGCATCTCCCTCCCCCCAGCCACCTTGCAGAGGTAGCACTCCTTGCTCAGATCCAGCCGGCTGCCCCCTGCTCTACCTGCTGTATTCTTTCCCACCTCCTCCATCTCCAAGTTGTCACATGGGCCATTTTCTGCTAAATCCTGACTTTTCACTGATTCTCAACACTGCTTTTTCAGGCTAAATTCAAGCCTTCGTCATCCTTAACACCTTCTTCTCCCCTTTGAATCCCTGTAATATTTTTGCTCTGTACCCTGTGATCTAATATAGAATTTCCAAGATTGCAGTGAACACAGTTTTCAAATAGGTAACTCTTATTTTCTAAAATAATGACTTCTTAAAGGCAAAAACATTCTTGTCCTTTTGGATAACTGAAGCACCTTGTACCAATCTATCCTTAGGGACCAAGAAACATCTCCTGGCCTGACAGGGTTGTTTCTGACCCCAGTATCAGTGAGTAAAACTTCTATGATCTTTCTGCCTCACATCTCTGTCCTGGGCCTCAGCTCCCAGAAGAATGCCCTACACAGGGTCTAGGTACTGCACACTGGTGACTTCTCCTGTAATGCCCCTCTCTGACTCTTCTTACTTTCCAGCAGCACACCTCATTCCTCATCCCCATGCTCACGGAAATGAGGACAAATGGGTATCGTCTTCCAGTTCACGTCCGCACCTCAGGAGCAAGACTAGCAAAAGGACCTGCCAAACCACTCACAGCCAGCAGGGGGCAGAAGCGCACCAGCTGCATCGGTTCCCCAACCCGTCAACCAGAGCCGGGAGGAGAAAGCCTACCTTAGCCAGCCTTTCACTGTAATCCGGACTCCCCTTCTTACCCCGCAGACTGGGGGGCACGAACCAGAAACACACGTTGACAAATTCAGGCTTGGAGGAATGAGGGGGGGAAGGTATAAGCCGAAGAAGGAGATCCGTTCCCCTCTCATCATCCCTCTTCCCCATCAGGGCTTTGTGTGTGAGACAGGCTGGGGGTGGGTGGGCATGGGGATGCAAAAGGGCACAAGAATGGTCATACCTCCATGACCAGCTCAAACCCTTCCCGCTTCTTCAATTCCTCCACCAAGTACCTGCGAACAGAGTGAGAAATCACGGGTGGAGGAGGTAAGACAGAGATTCAGAAACAAGAGCGACCCAGAAACTGAGCCAAGATATTCAGGAAAGGGGAACAGGGGTGGACCCCGGGGGAGGGGAACTGGGACCACCCCTACTCCTACCGGGCAAGAGCAAAGGCCTGGTCGACACGCCGCTCCAGCCCCTGCCCGCCCTGTGCCTTCCACATGAGCCACAGCTTCAGACAGTCCACACGGCGGCCACACTGCACCACCTTGTCTCCAGTATCCAGAGCCACATCGTAGAACTTGTCCTGCTGGAAGAGGTAGCTGGCCTGGGACCCGTGGCAGCGCTTTAGTAGGTTCTGTGGAGGGTAGGGAGACAGTCAGACCCCACCCTCTCCACGGAGGTTTCCTCCAGGGCTGCACTGGGGTACTCAGCTCAGCCCACGAGTGTCTTTCCCTGGAACCAGGCAGCACTGATGGGATGGCTGCCAGCTGATGGAAACTCCTTTCTCTGGTTTTTCTCCCAAAACTCAGAGTTCTTCCCAAATGACCCAGGATCCTTCTGATTACAACTTAAGCTGGGAAATTTTAAACTTGCATGAAGACAGCGGGAGGGAGGGAGCCCACTCCAGGGGATTAGAGGGGTCACAGATATTTGGCTTCAGATGGATGGTAGAAAGAACACAGTAAGGCCAGGAGGCCCTGTCAGGTGGGACAGAAGGGAAGACAGAGATCCAGGGTGGGAGGTGGGGCCAGGGCGGGGCAGGGGCAGACCCACCGAGGTGTCCCGGAGAAGAAGAGCTGAGCACTGCAGGCCTGCGGAGAGGAGCTTGTGGGGATTCCAGGCTACGGAGTCAGCCCTAGGGTGGGCACAGCAAAGCTGGGTCAGCTGGTTCCCCCTTGAGGTGCCCAGGCAGAACGCCCCACCCTTTCCAAATATCCAGGAAAAGAGGTTTTAGTCTCACTCAGCCCGGCAGTCAGGAAGAATTCCCAAATATAATGTCTGACCTCCCAGTCCTAGTTAACCATCTCTCCAATCCCCCTCCCGCTAGCCTCCTTCCCCTACTCCCAGCCGAGCTCCGCAGGCCATGACTACTCTCTGGATCAAGGATTTGAAGGGTGAGATTCAGGGAGTAGGGGGCCGTACACACCTCTGGATCCCATTCAGGAGATGTCTGTGTGTCTGTGACAGCAGGACGCTCCCACCCCAGGCAGCCTGTGGAGCAGAAGGAACAATGTGGGCCTTGGCCTTGGCCTCAGCCCAGCCCACCCCACCCTCAGGACCAAGTCCCACTCACATCCACGTGCAGCCACAGCCCATGACGCTGGCACACATCAGCAATTGCCTCCAGGGGGTCAAAGGCCCCCAGCACAGTAGTGCCAGAGGTGGCACTGACCAGGAAGGGCACAGCACCCTGTGACAAAAATGCGGAGGGAGAAAGAGGCAGTGAAGTTATCTCAAAAGCTACCCAGAGCCTGGTGCTGAGACCCAGCTCTACACTCTTTGTGTGCCTGACCTGGGCCCTTTAAACTTTACAATGTGTTATTGTCCCCTTTAACTTGCAAGTGAGGACACAGATTCAAAGCTGTTAAGGCAGTTGCCCCTAAGCAGAAGCTGCAGGGATGGAATTCAAACCCAGGTCTGTCTGATGGTCTATTTCCAAAGCTCATACTCTTTCAAAAAAATGCAATGCCTCACTGGAAGATCAAAATGCTATTTAAAGTATTCTAAAAGTATAAAAGTTCATGAAGAAATTGAATTAGTGTTGAAAAAACTACCACAAAGGAAAGCGCAGGCCCAGATGGCTTCCCTGATGAATTCTACAAACATTTAAAAAAGAATTGATACCAGCTCTTCATGAACTTCCAAAAAACAGAGGAGGGAGAACTTCCGACTTTCCATAAGGTGAGTACTACGCTGATACCAAAACCGGACAAAACGTCACAAGAAAACTACAGAATATATCTCTCATAAATAAAGACATAAACATCTACAAAACACTAGCAAACCAAAATCAGCAACACATAAAAAGAATTACATACCATGACAAAGTGGGATTTGTCCCAGGAGTGCAAGTTTGGTTTAACATCCAAAAATCAATGAATGTAATACATCCCATCGATAGAATAAAGGGGGAAAAACACATCTCAATGTAGTCTATTGGTCATCTCAATAGACAAAGAAAAACATTCAGCAAAATCCAACATTCTTTCATAATAAAAACACTCATCAAAGTAGGAATTGAAAGGAACTTCCTCAACCTGATAAAGAGCAAAACAAAAAACCCACAGCTAACATTATACTCAACGGTGAGAGACTGAAAGCCTTTCACCTAAGATCAGGAATAAGACAAGGGTGTTCACTCTTCCCACTTCGACTCAACACTGTGCTGAGGTTCTAGAAGGTCAAATTGGTTTAAAAAAATATAATAAGAGGCACCCAGCTTGGAAAAGAAAAAAGCAGAATTATTTCTATTTACAGATAACATGATACTTTACTTAGAAGACCCCAAGGAATCCACTAACAAAACTATTAGAATTAAATGAATTCAACAAGTTTGTAGGTACAAGACCCATATTCAAAAATCAGTTGTGGGGGTAGGGTATAGCTCAGTGGCAGAGCACATGCTTAGCGTGCACAAGGTCCTGGGTTCAATCCCCAGTACCTCCACTAAAAAATAATAAATAAACCTAATTACCTCTCCTCCACAAACACACAAAAAAAAGTCAGTTGTATTTCTATACATTAGCAGTGAACAATCCAAAAATGGAATTAAGAAAACAATTTCATTTACAAGAACATCAAAAAGAATAAAATACTTACGAATAAATTTAACAAAAGACGTACAAAACATACATTCTGAAAACTACAAAGCATTGTTGACAGTAATCAGTGAAGACCTAAATAAATGGAGACATTCCATGTTCGTGGACCTGCAGACTGAACACAATCCCTATCAAAATCCCTATTGGCTTCTTTGCAGAAACTGACAAGCTGATCCTAAAATTCAAATGGAAATTTAAGGGACCCAGAACAGCCAAAACTATCCTGAGAAAGAACAGCTGGAGGACTCACAGTTCCTGATTTCAAAATGTATTACCAAGCTACATTAAGACAATGTGGTCTACAGGACAGGCCTGCAGATCAATGGAACAAACTGAAGAATCCAGAAATAAATCCTCACACTTACTTACTCAACGGATTTTAACAAGGATGCCAAGACAACTCATTGGGGAAGGAAAAGTCTTCAAAAAATAGTATTGTGACCATCTGCATGTGAATACACACACACACACACACGTGTATATATACACACACATGTACACACACATTTACACCTAAATACATAATGGAGGTATTTTCATCCTAATAAATATATTCCCACCTTACTGTTTTCAATGGCTACATACTCCTCCAGTAGCAGCAGCAGAGGCAGCTAATATTTATATAGTGCTTCACTGTCCTAGGAACCTCATATATAATTCACTTAAGCCTTAAAACAACCCTATGTGATCAATTCTCCATTATGCTCATTTTACAAAGGAAGAAACTGAGACACACAGATACACCATCATTTAGCTACTGATGGATAATAAAAGGTTTTTTAATTTTACACTTTGCTCCAGTGCACACAATTCTAAGCACTTGTGCTGATAATTTATAGACTAAATCCTAGCAGTAGAACTCTGACAGTGGCTAGATACATTTTAAAATTGGACAGAAGGTGCTGGGACGCCCTCTAGATGGCTGCAGCGGTTCCCACGCCCCCCAGCGCGGAGGGCTATGGACATGCCTCCATGTTTCCACTGCTCCAAGCCCACACTCCTCACCACGGGCCCCTGCTTCCTCCTGAGCTTCTCCCTACACAGACCCTTCCTGCTCTCAGAAATCTTCCACGCTACACTTCAGGCACCCACTCCCTGTGGTGCCCTCTGGGACTCAGTGACTCAATCCTGTTCCCCTGCCTCAGGGTCCGAAGGTGCCCGTGGGTCTCAGCATAGTCCCTGAGAGAACCGCAGTGTCCTCACTCCCCCGGCTCCCCAGGGATCACTTCAGCCCACAGGGAAGACATGCACAGAGATCACGAGGAGGGATGGGGGGAGGTTTGAGCAGGGACAGGGCTAAGAACCCTCCAAGAAGGGGACAGAGGGGTCCTGCTCCACTGCCACCGAGCCTCTCACTCACCTCGGCCTCAGCCAGACTGATCTGCCTCTCCAGATCCTCAGGGATCATTTTCCCTCTGGAAAAGAAAACTGAGTAGGTAGAGAAGTACTAGGTTCTCTAGGATAGGCGGCAGAACTCTTGAGAGCAGGGTAATGTGCAGTTAGCAATGCAGAGGCCACAGTGTTGATTTTTCCCAAAGAGGGGTAAACAGATCTCAGGGGACAGGGTGGAGACTCTAGCAGGCACTGGTAGACAGAAGCGGCAATTCTGCAGGAACAGCGGGGAGAGAAGTCCGCCGGGGCGTGGGCCTGAGGCCTGAGCCTCTGACAGCAGGAAGGTACGCTGCACCAGGCTGGGTCTGAGCCAGGCAGACAGAAGGACCTTCACCTCTCATCTGCCTTGACCATTCGGACACTGTCGGTGCCAAGTCCCAGAAAAGCAGCTCCCTTCTTGATGGAGTAATGACACTGCAGAGGAAGGCAGAGGGCAGGAAGGATGGGGAGGAGAGAGAGAGGTAAAAGCTCGAGCTGCAACAGATGAGACCCTGGAGACCAGGGCTTCTCAAACATTTATGTGCCAAGAATCACCAGTGCATCTGGCTAAAATGCAGGTTCAGATTCAGTAGATCTGGGGTGGGGCCCAAACATTTCTAACAAGCTCCCGGGTGAAACTGATGCCAGTGGTCCATGGACCACACTCTGAGTAGAAACGGTATGGACCATGTCCACTGCACTGGTTGCCCCTCTGCTACCCCCAAGCAGAAGGCCGGGTGAACATGAGCATTTACTCAGACCCCTTGGTTGCAAGGAAGCACGCCTGCCTGTGGGCAGGCTGGCCTCGGATGGGTCTGGGCAGGCACAGGACCTAACAGGTCTTGACTCAGCTGGCTGGAGATTAGAATCAGGAGCCCAGAGTAGGTAGGCCTGCGCCTCTTCCCACCTCCTTTGATGTGAAGAGGGCCAGGGGTGGCAGTGCCCGGAGGCCCCTCTGTTTGCAATCCGGGTAGCGCTGGTAGCGGGCCAGGTTCACAGCATACATGTTGGAGACAGAGCCACCTGTTACACAGAAGGGGCGTTGGCAAGAGGGAGGGGCAGCGGGTCAAAGCTGGAGCTGGGCTCTGGGCTCTCCTGATCTCTCCACCCAGGAGAACTGATCAAAGAAGCATGATTGGCTACAAAGCCACGAGTTCTGAGGACTGGACAAATGGCATGCAGGTAACCCAGAACAGCGGGATCTGCAGATCCCCTGACTGCCTTCCTCCTTATCCTGGTCTAATCCCAGGATCCACCACCCCACCTCCACCCCCACCCCCACCAAGAGAGCAAGCGCTGGAGCACTGATCCCATGGACTGTTTGGCAAACACGAGGATACAGAGGACTGGGCAGTTTCTCTCTGGTTTGGCCGGAGCCCAGCTGGAGAAGTAACAAAGGAATCACCCCTCCCTGCCGGCTTAGGGCAAGAGAATGGCAGGGGAGGAGGAACCCTTGAAAAGGCCAAAGAAAGGCCTCCTCCTGGACACATACCAGGGCAGAAGACCCCGTCCCCAGAGCTCCAGCCCACCAGGGCCCGGAGTTTCCTCAGCACTTCTTCTTCCATGAGGACAAACACGGGGGCAATTTCGTACGTGTATCTGCCAGGAGACGCAATGATGAGAACGGGAAAGAAACAGGGAGGGACACAGGACAGATTCTCAGGGGAGTCAGAGAGAAGAGGTGGAGAGAGTGAATGAGGGGAGGGTCCAAAGAGAGGACAGAGCTGGTGACAAAGAACCAAGGAAGGAAGGATGAGAAAAAATGAGGGAGGAGGCATGGGAAAGCTTGGAAAAGGGAGCCCAAAGGGCACAAGGGGAAGGACTTTGCCAGCAGAGCTTCCCAGAAAAGAGAGGGGGGCAAACACCATTCTCCTCCCCTCCCGTTGGGGTGTGTCTCCCGCCAACCCAAATCCTCTATGGGGTGGTGGGAGGGGCCCTGGGACGGCTCACTGGCTGGTGTTGAGGCTCTCGGTGATGATGCGCCCGGCCAGGGCGTGGGGATCCAGCCCTGAGAAGAGCTGATTGAAGAACCGAGGGTGACCTGCGGCAGGGGGCAAGGGGCTCAGAGTAGAGCTGAGGTCGAACTCATGACACTCCTCCCTCCAGAGCCTAGCACCCACAGGTCTTCACGCTGTAGTGGATCACGGCCCGGCACCGCTCCAGGATCTGCTGCTGTGACTCCCCCTCGCCGCGCAGCTCCAGGTCTAGCAGCTGCTTCAGCTCCTCCGGCTCCTTCCACTCGCAGACCTAGAAGGAGGATCGGGAGATCCTGGGGTCTCTGGGACATCCCACTGACCAGCCACCCAAATCACATCTCAACAGACACAAGACACCACCAACCTGCACTGAAAATAGCTCAGAGACAAAGGTAAATCAACACAGCCTGACCCAGTATGGAATCCCTGAGACACACAGTTAGAGGGTGTTGACTTCTGGGGAGAAGCCTGGACAGAGGAGGAAAGTTCTGAGCCAGATTTGATGGGCAGGAGGAGGAGGGAGAAAAGACCCACCTTTTCTGAGGCACTAGTCCCTTTCCGAACGACCTCATCCACCACAATCCCAAACACATCCTGGAGCAAGGCTTCTGCAGCCATGGGGTCCCCATCAAGGGAGAGGAGTGGTTTCGAGTCAGCCATCAGGATAAAATCTATGAGTAAAGCAGGAGTTATTCCCTACTCAGCCTGTGGACCCCACCCAGACCGAACCAGCAAGAACCTCAATTCCCTTAACGAGCCAAAGGCCCGGTCCTGTGGCTCAGGCCCAGCCTTCACTGTACAGACAAGGGCAAGTGAGAGCGTCCACGGAGAGAGCCAGCAGAAGCAGGTGGGAAAGAAAAAGGCAGTTAGTGCTGAGCAGGTGGAATCCAGTAGCCACTGCCCACCTAAGGCAAAGATGAGAGGTTCACCTTTCTGCTCAGGTCTCTATCCAGGTGAGCTGGAGGCCAGGGACACAATTAGCTTTGTAGAATGTCAGGATCAGGGCAGCAGAGGGAGCGAGGTATAGGCAGCAGTCACGTGACCGTGACATCACGCTCATGACCCTTGCCCTAAAGATTTGGGATAGGGCCAGCAGGTTGAGATAAGTTTCCTGAATAATCATTAGCTGACATGAAGATGTAAGGCAAAAATATGTGCCATGTCCACTTCAGGCTGGAGAGGAGCAGACAGGAGAGCCAGCAGGAAGAAAGGCTTCCTGCCATGAAGCAAAGGGCCTGGAGTAGGGATGTGAGGGACCTCTGGCAGAGAGACAGGAGCGGTGGGGGGCAGAGGCAGGAAACTGCGACAGGTGACCCTGGAGACTTGGGGGAAGGGAGCCTGTGCAAGACAAGGGAGGTGAAACAGCTTAGGCAGGCCTCAGAGGCCAATCTCTTTGCATCCCAGCCCCCAGAGTCTTATCAGAACGTCCTGATTTCAAAAGCCCTCTCCTCTAAAGAGCAGGAAGGAAAGGAGGTCACACTGAGGAAGCAGCTTGTTAAACAAGTATAATCCTGTGCCTCGTAGGCTAAGAGTACTCAAGAAACAGGGAGTGGCTGATCAAGGGAGTGCCAGCTGTGTTCCCGCCAGGGTGCTGGGGATAAGACGCCACTTGTCCTACTGGGAGCACACAGATGCTCGTGCAATAGTTACAGCCCACAGCACGGCTGGATGCTGGTCCCAAGCGCAATTCAGAAGAGGAGATGGATGAAAGCTGAAGACTGGAGAAGACCTGTGGTGGGACTGGGGCTGAATCCTGAAAGCAGACAGGAGGAAGGAGTTGATGAAATGGAGGAAGAGAGGCATTCAGGGGCATGCGCTTCTGCTGGAAATGTGTGCGGCTGGTTCTGAGGTCAGTGAAGATGCCTGACTGGCTGGGGAAGAGGTCCGCAAGCATAATCTGGGAGCAAAGAAAGGCAGGGCAGACAGAGCTGCACAAGACTATGGGGAGCCTGAGTGCCAGCCAGGCCAAGAATCTAAATTTTACCCTGCAGAGAATGGAAAGTCACGTAGATTCTCTGGCAAGCAATGATGTGATGAAAATGATGCCCTCGGAAGACCAGTGTATAGCAGCAGGAGGCAGAAGAATAAACAGGCCGCTGCCGTAAGCCAGGCAGGAGGTGATCCACACGGGAATTAGAGTGGTGTTGGTAGGAAAGAACAGGCAGAGGAATCTGCAGGCTTAACTACTCACTAGATTACACTGAATTCAACCCCTCATCTGTGCTCACTCTGGCTTCCCTGACTGGTGGCAGCAGTGGGGCATTCATTGTAGGCGGAGAGGCTTGAAGGAGAGAGGCTAATAAAAACAGATACCATTCAAGTACTTGCCAAATGCCTCACTCTGTACTTAATATGCATTATTCTAATCTTCACGACCACTGAGGGTAAGTTTATTACCCACATTTAAAGATGAGGAAACTGGTGGCAGGAGGGTATAGCTCAGGGGCAGAGCATGTGCTTAGCATGCACAAGGTCCAGGGTTCGATCCAAAAATTTTAAATTGCCTTCATTTAAAAACATTTTTTAAATAAATAAACCCAATTACCCCCCAAAAAATAAAAAAATAGAAAGATAATAAAGATGAGGAAACAGATTTCTATGACACTATGTATGTCCAGGTCACACAGCTGGCTCCTCATCACCAGGCTCAACCCCCTCGCTCAGGGCTCCTCCAGGCACTGAGCTTGCTCTGGTGCAAAGACCTCTGGGCCAGGATAAGAACACCTCGGGCCCTTGGTTTCTGTAAAATAAGGGGTTTTAAGACAGAATCTCCAGGGCATCTGCTGGTGTTCATTAGCTCAGGCTGTTGGATGTGGCAAGCAGGCCAGGGGAGTGGAAAGCAGAGAGAATGACTGGTGAAGAGAGACCCCAGCTGTTCCCAAAGCTCTGAAGAGATGTCTGCAGGGAAGACCCTGGCTCTATCCGCCCGGCCCTTCTTTAGCCATCCCACCTCAGTCACTGCTCGGGAGTGAGATGTGGAGGCGAGGGCTCTGAACAGCCCGGGTTTCCTCCAGGGGTAAACAGGGAGGCGAGGCATCACCACCCTCATTCCCCATGGAATCCTGTCCTGGGACCTGAGAAAGGGAACAGCCCCTGCCCACAGAGAGCTTTCTTTTTTAAAAGCAAGAGAGACATTAACCCACGAGACAGAATAATAAAGCAAAGAAACATGAATAAACAGAAACAGCGCTTTAGCCCCTGGTTGAAGAGATGCTAGAAGGACCAAGTAGGATTTGTTTAAAAATTCACAAGTTTTTCTGACTTCATGGGATCTCTAGTCCATAAACTCCTCTAACCATCAACTCACTCATATCCTTCTTTCCTTCACTTACACAACCTAGATTGTATGGTCTGTTTCAACCACTCTTTGTCCAAAATCCTCAACTCCCTGGCCCTACTGTCCTTCCACCAAATCACCTGGCAAGACCCCAATCCAACTGGCTAGTCATTCTCTTAACAAATCCACCAAGATGGCTGGATTCTGCTAGTGAAAACCACTTAACCATTCAAATTGGTTTTTGCTATAAATTCATGGTCTCTGTGCTCAATCCAATCAAACACAGCAGATTAGACACATATGTTTACCACTACTTCTTCCTGAAACCCCACTAAAATTACATCAGTGAAATTTTAAATCCAGAAGAATAAAGCAATGAGAAGAGAGACAAGAGATGAGAGATGTCAATAATTGTAGGAGGTAGAAAGCAGATGAGAAGTGGTAACTGGATTAGCCGACAGCTGCAAGTCAACACCAGTCTGTCTACAGAGGGCTACACCAATCAGATACAAGCTGGTTCTTGGGGCGGAAGCCCAGAAAGGCTCAGGAATTTACAGCGCGAGCTATCGTGGAAGACAGGAGGGAGAGGCATAGCTATAAACTTGGAAACTACATGAAAATTTATATAAGGAACATTTAGACTCTCACTCTCCTCCCCCTGCTTATTCAGTAAGGCAACTCCCCTCTCCTTTATCTACTTTCGAACAATCAGGAAGTCTGTTTTCTAGAGAAAGTGAAACAGAGAGGCTGGGACGTAGGGAAGCCAGGCACAGCAGAAGATGAGGAAGAGGCACTGTACTGATTACAGGAGGATTAGGAGGAAGTTACTGATCATGTCAACCCCTTTCTCCCAATCAGCATGCAGAATCAATGGCCGGGGTAAACCCTTCAGGGCAAGAGACTGAAAGATTCTTCTCTGGAGAAATTGACCTCAATAGCCCCAGAGAAGGACCTGACATTTTTATTTCAGTCATCACCCAATCACCCAGTCAGTGATGCCCACAAGTCAATAAACATCTATACATTTGGGCCTTCCAATATGTCTTAGCGCCTCACTCTTAAATGTGAACAGACAGCCAGCCAGGGATTACTACACACTTCAGTAAAGCCCCTCACGTGAACCATAGATGTAAAAACAGACCATCTGAAAAAAGGCATTTGATGGAGAAGGAGAAGTTCAGGGAGCAGAAGAAAGCCTCAGAAATTTGGAGAACATTGCATCCATAAAAAAAAAATAGGTTGCTCTCAAAAAGGAATACTCAGAGAACAAGGAGCTCTAAGATTTTAAAAATACGACAACTGAAATGAAAAGTATGACAAGTGAAATGAAAAAATTAGAAATAAAAATGATGTCAAGAAAATCACACAGAAAGATAAAAATATAAAGAGATGGACAATAAAAAAGAACTTTAGAAGAACAGAAGAATAGATCAAAAGTATCCACTGAATGACTAAAAGACAGACTATAATACTATTTCAGAACAATGGAGGATCCAGAGACCTCCAGAGACAAAACAAACAAACCAAAACCAGGTCATAGACAAAGGACAGAGAATCTGACCACATCAAATCTCTTCCAGCACCGGAGAGAGGTGAAGGGAATTCCCAGGACTGTCGTGAAGGTAGTGACCAACTTCAGAGGCAAAAAGCAGCGCTGACTACTCCACTGGACACGCCACACTGCCTGGCCACATCACTATTCTTCTATCGTCAGCTCTATCTCCAATTCTCTGCAGAAATTACTTCACAAATTTCCCACACTTCTCAAATTACTGACCTATCAAACTTCTTCTCCCTGGTTCCCGCTCTCATTTCAAATTTCTCATAGAAAATAAAAGCCATCCAAACTCACTCAAATTTTTGTCACCTGCACTCTGAATCCCCCATCCCTTCCTTGCTTCCTTCCATATTTATTCAGTATCTAGTATGTATGTGCCAAGCACTTTGGTGGCCACTAGAGGTCACAATGGAGAGCCGAAGACCACAGCCCTGCCCTCCTGAGGGTCACAGGTCACAAACTGGAAGACCCAGGGTCAACTCCTACCCAGAGACATGATTTTGTTTGGCTTGCATGGTACATTTTAAAACTTTAAAAAATAATTGTCAACACTGAAACTTCCAGCTTCTTGTGAGAAAAATCAGAAGATCTAGCAACACTGGGCCTGAATAAACAAGCAACAATTTTGTGTGGTTGGAGTTGCTCCTTTATTATTGTATTTTTGCATTCATTGTTTTCTTTTCAATTTTTAAATTTTTGTTTAAGCAACACATTCAGGTAGTTCAAAAAACAAAATACATAAAAATATTAGTAGTAAAAAATCTAATTTCTACCCCATTCCATATGCTCTATTCCAGGTAACCATTTTTATCAGTTTCTTGGGTAACCTTTCAGAGTTTTTAATGCAAATACTAACAAATGTGAATATATATTATTTTCTATTTTTTTACATAAAATATAGTATATAATCACTGTTGTGCATCTTGCTTTTCTATAGTTTACAATACATGGGCGATCTTAGAACATATAGAAGTTCCTCATTCTTTTTTTTTTAATATAACAGCTTTATTGAGGTAATATATATATTCTAAAACATATTCTTTTAAATTGTACAATTTAGTGGTTTTTTTGTATAGTAACAAAATTGTGCAACCATCGTCACTATCTAATTCCAGACTGTTTTCATCACCCCAAAAAGAAACTCATTGCTCCCCATTCTCTCCTCCCCCAACCCTGGCAACTACTAATTTCTGCCTGCAAAGATCTGCCTATTCCGGACATTTCACGTGACTGGAAACACACAGTGTGTGTAAACTTCCCCTGTGACTGGTTTCTGTTACTTAGCATAATGTTTTCAAGGATCATCCATGTTGTAGTGTGTATCAGTGCTTCATTCCCTTTTATGGCCTGATAAGGTTCCATTATATGGATACACCACATTTTAATTATCGTATTTTTCACCATCTGATGGACATCTAAGTTGCTTCCACTTTTTGACTATTGTGAACAATGCTGCTATGAACGTTAATACACAACTTTTTGTGTGGACATATGTTCCAATTCTCTTGAGTATGTACCTGGCAGTGGAATTCTAGGTCATACAGTAACTCTACATTTAACTTTTTGAGGAACTGGAAACTGTTTTCCAAAGTGGCTACACCACTTCATATTCCCATCAACAATGTATGAGGGTGTTGATTTCTTCACACCCTTGCCAGACTTGTTACTGTCTTTTTGATCACAGCCACTTGCATTTGTAACTTTGATAAGGATGGCCAACCTCCCTAGAGGTTGTACCAATGTATGAAAGTTCCTGTGTTCTCAGTCACAGAGCATGTAGTCAAACTTCTGAATCTTTTTAATTTGAGGAGGGAAAAATACCTTAGTATGGTTTTATTTTAGTTGAACCCCAGTATTAGTCAGTTTCGTTGTGGTAACTGATGACTTCAAAACCCCACTGGCTTACAACAATGGAGGTTTCTTTCTTTTTCCATGGTTGACAGTGATGGGGTTGGCTATAGCTCTGATTTGTGTGCCTTCATTCCAAGACCCAGGCTGAAGGAATAGCCCCTAAATGGGATACCACATTCTCATGGCAGAGAAAAAAACAGCAAAAGGCAGAGAAAACCATGAACCAACTCCTCAAGCTTCTGCTCAGACCTAGCATATAGCACATCTGCTCCTATGCGGTTGACCAAAGCAAGCCCTGGCACAGTAGGGGGAGGATGTACATTCCTCCCACAAGAGGGCACTGCAAAGCCCATGGCAATGGGTGAAGAGGGAGAACCCTATCACAGGAGGATGGGTCACCGGCCCTTAGAATTTTGCGTTCTGTTTCACCTCAGCTCACACCAGCCCATCTCACTCATCTCCTTAACTTTCTGGCTCTGCAGACATCTGAGT